TTTATATTGTGGGGGCTTTGGAATGGGTGATTGTCGTTGGGGAGTGATTGGGAGGGGGAGGTTAAGAGGGCGTTTGGTAGGATGGATGTTGCTGAGAGGGTTGAGGTGGGTGGTGGGGAATTAATAGGTGCGAGGGGGGATGGTAATGGTGTTTTGGCTGTTTGAGAGAAAAGGAGTAATGTAATAAGTTTGCGGAGAATATGGTGTGTTTTGTTAGAATAGGCTGTAATGTAAGACTTATATATCATATCACTCTCTGAGTATCTCTTGAGATATAGATATTCCCGGGCTGTCTCATAACAGATTTATTCCTCATTAGATACTAACTGAATATCATTAAATTCCATATATCATGTGGCTAATAGATGCTCTAAAAATTCAATACCTGAAAATCTCTAACTCTATCCAACCAACTATTTAAAACTAAATAGATTAAATTACAAAGAATCAACTTCCTATTATTTTATATAAAATTATAAAATATAAAAAAAAAAAGTGAAATCATATATAAAATAATTCCTACAAAATTAATTTTTGAATCAATTATTAATATTAATTTTTATATTTTTAATTTCTTGATGTTACGAGGTTTGCCGTCTAGATCACGTGGAAGTGCTTTAGGCTCTCGAAGTGGTTTATAACTAGGCGTCAAACCTCGTAACACTTTGAGCACCATTACTGCTTCAAGTACCGACTCGATAGTAACGACAACATGTCTTCCACGACACCACAGCCTAGCAACCCCGCTACGACCAGCCAGGTCACCCCCAAAAGTATTGACAAGGACTGAGACATCGCCATGGGAGGTATCGAAGACCTCAAGGAGATTACCGTCACCGAAACTCTTAAAGTCGCCCTACCAGACCGATTCACAGGCAACCGACAAGAGCTAGAAACCTTCTTGCTCCAACTTGAGATCTACTTCCAATTCAATCAAGATAAGTTCAACCATGACGCCGACAAAAGCGTCTGGGCTGCCTCCTACCTCAGAGGAGAAGCCGTCAAGTGGATCCAATCATATCTCAAGGATTACTTCACCAACTTAAGCGAGCCTAAGAAGCGAATGTACCCAACTCAAACCATCTTTGGGAGATTCGAAGGTTTTAAGAAAGAAATACGAAAAGTATTCGGGAACATAAATGAATTATGTAACGCTGAGTCCAAGATCTATAGCCTCAAGCAAACAAGATCAGCAGTTAAGTACGCTGTGGAACTCAGGAGGTATATAAGTACCACTAGATGGGAAGAAAACGCGACAATAAGCCATTACCGGAAAGGACTCAAACCTGTAATCAAGTTAGAACTGGATCGCAATTGTATTTGAAAAGATCTAAACGAGTTAATTGAGGAATCTATTAAGGCAGATGAGATGCTCTACGAGTATCAGAAGGAACGCTGATCTTCCAAATTTTATGGAAACCGAGATTATGGTAAATACTACAAGAATAAAGGAAGACCTCGAGAAAACAGACAATTCTACGGAGAATCAATACAATTAGATGCAACGTTTAAGAACAAACTATTTAAGGAAGAGGTAGAATGCAGATGCAAGGACAAGCTATGCTTCGAATGTGGCAAACCAGGCCATCGGGCTAGGGATTGCTGAAGCAAGAGATCATCAGGAGGAGGTTATCACAAGAAATTCGGCAAAGGTCAACTCAATGCTACATTTGTACCCCAACTATGCGCTTCAAATCCAATCGAAGACGATAGTTACGAATATGAAGAACGTCAAAAGGAAATTGACGCAATGCTACGAGACCAGGAAGGGTTGAACGCCATAGACCGATACGAGTTGGAGCGTCTCCGAACCCCTTCACCTCCCCTTATCAAGGAAGACCCGAAAGAAATACCGTCGGTAGAACACGCGACGATGAGCTGGATAGTTTGCTACGATGAATCCTGCAGAGTTCACCTATCAGATAAGGAAGCCACAGGATGGTTTCCCCAAAGAAAAGCAAAAGGACCCTACAAGAAGGGAAGGTCAGAAAAAATATCGTCACATGGTCATTTAAATGGTCAGTTACACAAAATTGACCAAATTGACCAAATTGACCACAACAAGGTTTTAGGTCAAGGACAGTTAAATATCGCAGGACAGGCAGGACAGATTTACTGCAATGCGAAGATAAATGGACGAGTAATCCGGGCCATGATTGACTCAGGAGCTACGGGAAATTTTATTGCACCAAAAACGGCGAAGTACTTGGGAGTGCAACTCCAGACGAAACAAACCCCATATCAATTGCAGCTGGTTGATGGACAACTAGCCGGATTGGACGGAAAGATTTCACAGGAAACACGCTCAGTACAGATGATCATAGATCAACACAAGGAGATCATCCAGTTCGACGTCGTCCCATTAGGAAATCAATCAATCATCCTAGGGATTCCATGGTTAAAAGCACACAACCCCCAGATTGACTGGTTGTGGGAAACTGTAACATTTTCAAACAAGAGCGATCAACGAGATACGCTAGAGCCTGCGAGGCTGAACACACGCGGTGGAGAACTGAAGGCGAACAGCACCACTAACGTAGGACACCCAGTCCAGGGTTCTCCATTAACGGCGAAGGAAGGTGAACCTCCCATACAAATGAAGAATAAGCAGAAGAAGCTGCTTGAAACCACCCCTGTAGAGAAACAGGACGAGACGCCAATACCGGTACAGTACCAGAAGTACAAGAAACTATTCGAAGAAAGAAAAGGCCATGACGCTTTACCAGAACATAAGCCATGGGATCACGAGATAGTATTGGAGGAAGGCAAGATGCCTCCATTTGGACCAATCTATCCAATGTCAGCCTCTGATCTAGGGACGCTTAGGGATTACATTGGCGACGCACTAGAAAAGGGATGGATCAGAGAATCCACCTCACAGGCAGCTAGCCCTGTGTTATTTATACCAAAGAAGGATGGTACTAGGAGACTTTGCGTAGACTACCGCAAGCTCAATGATATAACGATCAAAGATCGGTATCTACTTCCATTAGCTACGGAATTGAGGGATCGATTGGTAAAAGCCAAGATTTTCTCCAAGTTTGATCTACGAAACGGATTTCACCTCATCAGAATGAAGGAAGGTGAAGAATGGAAAACAGTATTCAGGACTCGATACGGATTATACAAGTATCAGGTTATGCCATTTGGATTGACAAACGCACCAGCAATATGTATGCGTTTGGTCAACAACGTTTTACGGAAATATCTAGATATCTGCTGTATATGCTATCTAGACGATATCTTAGTGTTCTCAGAAACAGAGGAACAACACATCAAGGACATCCACAAGGTCCTACAACACTTGGAGGAAGCCGACCTCCAATGCAAACCTAGCAAGTGTGAATTTAACGTCACAGAAACAGAATTCCTAGGCTATACCATATTCTCCGGAGGTCTCAAGATGAGTCCTAACAAGGTAAAAGCAGTTATGGAATGGGAATCCCCAATCAGTGTGAAGGAAGTACAGTCCTTTCTGGGGTTCGCCAACTTTTACCGACGATTCATCAAGAACTATTCAAAGATAGCGCTCCATGACGAAATCACAAGAAGAGTCAAGGGGAATTCTGATGACGGAAACAGCACAAGCAGCTTTTGAATGTCTCAAGGAAGCATTCGCGGGAGAACCAGTTCTCAAGGCATTTGACCCGGAATTACCAATAATCGTGAAAACAGACTCCTCAGACTACGCAATAGGAGCAGTATTGAGCCAACCCGGCTCGAATGAGAAATAACAACCAGTCGCTTACCATCCACACAAGCTATCGCTAGCCGAACTAAACTACGAAATATACGACAAAGAATTGCTAGCGATAGTAGATGCTTTTAGAGAATGAAAAGTGTACTTGAAGAGATCAAAATACACGGTGCAGGTGTATACGGATCATAAGAACTTGTATTGGGTTTATTGAGACCAGAAAGAGCATCCGATTGAATTGATTCTCTAGCTAAGCAGTTAAGCTGCGAGTATATATTCAAAAAAATGAAGGAATAAGGTTAGGTATTCGGCCTTCGGAATTAAAGTGCTTTGAAATCAAAATATTGAAAGCAAACAAACAGTATACCAAAAAGGAAAGAATGAATTAAAAGTTGAGTTTTGTTTGCTCCTTATATGCATCATGCAATATATATGCATATGCTGCCCAGATCCCAGGAGGTCAACAACTTGGTTTACTTCACCACAACAAAGGAATTGAATCGACGACAGATCCGATGATCGGAAACCATGGCCACCTACAACTTCAGAATTTCATATGTCAAAGGAAACGAAAATGCTAGAGCAAATGCTCTCAACCGAAAACCAAAATACTTACAAAACAAAACACACGAATCACACACAATATTGAAACAGGACAACGACGCTTTAGTTCACAATAAACCACAACTTGCTGCTACTTCAGGAGTAAATTATGATACTATCAAAGATATCATAAAGACAGAATACTCAACGGATGCTACAGCCAAGAAAATCCTAGCTATCCCAGACAATCCAGAAAGAGGATTCACTATCGAAGATGGATTCATCCATTTTCATGACAAGCTTTACATACCCTCCAATCTAGCTAAGGATTACGTCACGGAGCAACATGAGCTTCCAGCTCACGGGCATCAAGGTATTATAAGAACCTTTGCTAGAATAAGGAGAGAAGTGTACTTTCCAAAGATGAGGACTATAGCTGAGAACGTAGTTGGGAACTGCGATATCTGTATAAGAAATAAAGCCGCCCAGTATGCACCTTATGGCCAGCTCAAAACCCCCGAACTACCTACTCAACTATGGAAGTCCATTGCTTGGGATTTTGTAGTAAAACTACCATTATCCAAAGACCCAGTCACCCAGAAGGAGTACGACTCCATCCTGGTGGTGACGGACAGACTAACCAAGTTTGCTCACATGATACCATTCTGTGAAACTTGGACGGCAGATGGCCTTGCTTATATATTCATGCGGAATATAGTTAGCATACACGGTGTACCAGATGAGATCATCTCAGATAGGGACAAGCTATTCACATCGAAATTTTGGTCTACCCTTATGGCATTGCTTGGAATCAAGAGAAAGCTCTCGACAGCCTTTCACCCATAAACAGATGGCCAAACGTAACGATTAAACCAAACGATGGAAACCTATCTTCGCTGCTACATTAATTACAAACAAGACAATTGGGTTAAACTATTGCCCTTGGCACAATTCGCATACAATACATCAGAAACAGAAATCACAAAGGTGACGCCAGCTTATGCTAACTTTGGGTTCAATCCACTAGCATATAAATCATCATTACCACAAGATGCGAATGTAGACGAAGTCATAAAAGATATCACGGAAATCAAGGAACTACAAGAACAACTTTCCTTGGATTTACGGTTCATCGCTTTAAGAACAGCGTCGTACTATAACGAATCACGTAGTATGGGACCTACTCTTAAAGAGAGGGATAAAGTTTATTTCATTCGAAGAAACATACAGACAAAGCGACCAAGCGATAAACTAGACCATAAGAAACTAGGACCATTCAAAATCGACAAGGTAGTTGGACCAGTCAACTACAGACTAAAACTACCATACACCATAAATATTCACCCAGTATTCCATATATCCTTGCTCGAACCAGCACCACCAGGAGCGCCCGATGCACCCGTAACAGAAATCGAACCAGTCAACCCAAACGCCATATACGATATCGAAACAATACTAGATTGTAAATACATCAGAGGCAAGATCAAATATCTGATCAAATGGTTGGATTACCCACATTCAGAGAACACTTGGGAGCTTAAGAAAGATCTTAGCTGCCCCGAGAAGTTGGAGGCGTTCCACCAACGATATCCGGATCTACCCAAAAAGGATCCAAAGGACCTAAGAGGAAGGGTCGAAAGTATCCAAAACGCCTGAATTAGCATCGGCAGGCGCCGACGACCCCGGATTCGACTTCTCTCTCTCTATACGCTCTTTCTCCAATCTCTCTTCCTCCGCTTCAAACTCCTCCAAAGCCTCGATCGTACGAAGATCATGTTGAAGCATCTTCCCTGCCTTTTCACGAAGAACCCTTTGTTGTTTCCGCAAACGAAGAATCTTAGCCACAGCTTCTTGAGAAACCTGCACGGCTGCCTCTTCTTCACGACGCAACCTATCTTCCTCAGAAGACACACGAGACCAATCGCCTGCGGAATGACCATATACATCGCAACGGCCGCTACCCACACTCTTTACGCATTCTCCATAACGAGTGGCATTCGGAAGCACTCGACACTCCAGATTCTTTTCAAAACAACGACTACACCTGAAAGACATGATCACACCCTTTTCCTTGGTTCCAGAATAAATATTTTGACGACTAGCAACGGATCGCGAAGAACGAATGACGCTCATATTGAACAAAAATTATTGAAGAGTCAAATCGTATAAGGAAAATACCCTGCTAATATAACGCTTGGGACAAGCGCTAAGCAAGAGAGGGGATAGTGTGTGTGTGTTATTATTTAACGGCCAGAGGCCGGGGGGCGAAGCCCCCCCATTCTCATGACATCCCCTGTTGGGGCAAAGGCCGCCAGGGAGTTACTCCTGGGCTGTGAATAGCTATGTACATATAACTATATCTAAAGATTGTAGTGATTCCTAGGCGCATTTCCGTAGCTGCCGTGATCTCAGTTAGATGTCAAAACTTCCCCTTAGTGGGGAGTTTGCGTAGTACGAAAGTCTGCCAAGCCGCAGCCGGTCCGCCTAAACCCCGTGACCTTCTTAGTGCTTCCACAGATATTTTTTTTTTTTGAAAATCTAAAGAAAATTTACAAAGGAAATTTTACAAAGGAAACAATAAATTTATCTGTTAATTTGTTAGCCTGCAGGGTTATCGTTATCCCTCGGGGTTTCGTGATCTTGTATGGGGCCTTCCGGGCC